TGTATCTGTCTGTCTGTCTGTCTTTCAGTCATATGTACGTTCGTGTTTGCTCACTTATAAAGCCAAACTTTCGCTAATTAATTTGCTATCATTTGGTAGATTGTGTCAAATAGTTTGTAAGCAAACTCCAATTTGTTCTATGATCCCGAATGTATACATATGGTGAGATACTTTGGCCGTGGTTGCGTGAGAACAGCGGGACTAATAGCAATCTGGAGTAACATTAGGAGACAAGCGGTTAAAGGGAATCGGTTGATGCCCTGTTTGGTTTGGTTTTGAGCGCAAATAAGATGACATCTGTTTACTGGGAATGGATCAGCCTTATGCAATTGGATGTAAATGTTTCTTTCATCAAAGAAAAACATGAACATTNGAAAAACATGAACATTTAAAAAATCAATACAGCTGGTTGTCAATAAGTTCGATTTATTAGATTTTAAAGCCGAGATCAAAGCACATCAGTGTAGCGTGGTTTGGGTTGTTAGTCTGTTGCTCGGGATTCTGAGCATAACGTTGACGAGTCGCAACAGATGTTTGTAAAGTACTTTTTTGTCAACCAATGCAAAATGAAATCCGACACTATTGTTCTCAGCTCTCTCTGATCCTTAAACCACATCCTGAATTTCTTTTCTATCGGTAATCGATTTTCACCCTGATAGGTGTAAACGGTATTTCTGTATTTTCCACGGATATTTTAATTTGTACGCCGTGTTAACCTCGAAAACTTTCGACATTGTTCACTCAAGCTCATTACCACGAACGGCAGTTTCCCAGATTGACTAGTACTTTAAAAATCCAAAACCCCAAGGGCGTTATCATTGCGAGTCCTATTTTCGTAGAATTTATTTGCACAATACTAAGACCCGGTACTAGTTTCTGATTTACCGTTTTGTATTTTTCTCTGGTGAAAAATTCCCCGTAACAGCCGAGAAAAACAATTCATCGCTATTGGTATCACGTATTTTCGAAATTAATTTTGTTATTTACACAGGGGGAAAATCACCATTTCTTCTTTCGCCCCCTCGCCGTTTAGGGCCAACATCTCAGAACACAGAGGCAGAATAATCAATTACATCGGGAGATTAATGTTTTCCGTGGTAAAAGTACATACCAACCCAATAGACACGCAAACCCGACCGTAAACAATTTACACATACACACACACACGTATGTACGCATCCGCTCACTCACTCACTCACTCTATCGCACGCTCACTAACGCAAGAAACCACGCTGCGATGCCAACCTCAAACAGATCAGATGCCTAACGTTTCTTAGATGGAACCGCGTTCGTATGCACAATCATGCAGTGTACATCTAAATATATAACAAACTATTACTGAATTCTTGTGACCGCATCCATGGGATGTGTTCTAACGCGAACGAAACAAGAAAAGGTTGGGGAGGGCGGGAGGGACAGCGGGTGAAATAAACAGAAAAACAGAATAGAAAAAGAATGTATGTCAATCCGAACTTGAATGTGCCTGTTGTTAATGCATACCGGACTTTTCGCAATCCGATCCTGTCTGGTACGTATGCTCGAATGTGTGGATCAACAATTGTAAGCGTCTTGTCTGTGTCTCTAATACACTATGCTCACCCTGGATAAAATGCTGACGTGTAGGAGAAAATTAATTCCCATTTCTTCTTGTTTACACTAATGTAACCCCTAAAATAACTTGACTAAAATTTTGACTGTTATGTTATTCTTGTTACGTGCTCTACAGTTTATATTTCATGTTTTACATGTTGATCGATATGTTACCATGTCTGGATTCATCACAGTGTGTTGTGTGTACCGAACTGTTGTTGTATAACCTCACATGCATACCGAGGAGGAGAAACTATTTATTAAAATCACATACATGCATTTGGTAGGTGATGCGGAACGGCTTACAGTGATAGGCACTCCTTTCGCCCTAAACACTGTCACGATTCGTTGACGAAGAAAATCCCAACTGACACTTTAATTCCATTGTGAAAACAGTGTTCACGTAAGAACTTGAACCCCCCCCCCCCCNGCTCTCCTTTCGTCCCGCACACAGTGCCTGTCCAAATGACAAGTGAGATAGTGTTGTAGTCCTAGCAACAGCAACCACAACTTGTCTCCGCTGCTTCATATCTGTGTGTGTGTGTGTGTGTGCGTTCAAGTCTGGTGGTGTGGACCCAGGATTAAAGGAGAACATTCATGAACATCATCGTGTATTGACCCGGATGTATTCCTCATCTGATTGTCAAAGCGAGACAACAGCTACAGCAACAGCAAGTCCAACGCATTGCATCATCTTCCGACTCACTCACACCTAACCAACTCGCTCAATTCTATGGACTGTGGTCTCCGGGAAACCGGGAACAACTATGTTCATAAATAGTTGCCAGTTTTTCAACCAAATTCGGCTCTTTGAATGCTCTGTATGAATGTTTCTGGTATTGTTGTTGTTGTTGCTCTAGAAAGTCTAAACATTTTACGTGATATATCTCCTGGTGTCTATATCATGGCGTTCAAAATGGTTTTGATTTGGCAAAAATAATGAAAATCAAAACGAGAACATCTTTGGACAGACACTAACTGACTATCAGCCCGGATAACATTTCACACACAGCCTTGTGACTGATCTTCGTCAAGGACTAAACAGAAGAACGTGATGTGTTTCGAGTTCCCGTTCAACTGAGCTGATTGTCACAATCCGGACAATGTGGATGCTCTTCAACCAGTAGCTATCCGCACATCAGATTTGCTCCGTTCTATGGGAGT